TATCGACATGCTACTGGCTGGACGGTCAGGGTTCAAATCCCGGCAAGGGTAAGATTTTTCTCTTCACAGGGCCGAGACCCGCTCTGGGGCCCACCCAGCCTCCATCCAATGGATACCGGGGGGGGGGGCTCTTTCCCTGGAGTAAAGCGGCCGGAGCATCTGGTGCCGAGGTCCAGAATGTTGGAGCTATACCTCAGCTTCCCCTATGACGTCATGAAATAGTGCGTAATTAATTACGCATAGGGAACAACTTTATAGTACCTACGACACGTATAGAAAGGTGGGTAGGCCCCATTACCGGTTTGGGCGACGTGTAAAGAGAAGAATCTTTGAATCTAGCCAGGAATCGAATCCCGATTCCTCGGCCTCCCAGCTCATAATCAGTCGGCGCAGAGACTGAGACTGCCCAAAGTTCTTTAATTTCGCTCTCTGGGCTGCAGAACTGTGTTCATCTGTGGTTCCGCACGGACGTGGTTTTTTTCACCTCATTTTTTTGAATGCTTATTACCATATATTTCAGGGTTCTGAAGTAGCACAGGTGTCGCTCCCACCTCACAAGTTCGCGTCTCCATGTTATTGGTACTGATTGTGGAAAATCGAAAGAAATACGGCGATGAACTAGCCTGCAGAGGCAGTACATACGTGCAAAGTTTCGGGAATATCGATCAGATGTGAAAGAGGAAAACACAGCATAATTATGTCATGATTTGCTTCATTTTCTTATAACGGAAGCAGGCTAAAAGCGAAATAATACCCGTACTCTTACTTTCTCAATGCGATAACTCCGTGTGGTGATCATTCTATGCATTAAACGTAGGTTGCCTAGCGAAGAAGCGGCGGTGGATATAAACCTTTTTATACAAAGGAAGAGCAGATAGTCTCCTAATAGACCTGATAGAAGATTTAGAGGTTTTTTAGCTACTCTAGGAACAGCGACAAAGCTGCCTCGTGTAGGCCACTGGTTCCTCAGACAGTAACTCTGTCCCTTAATGAGGGAAGTGGTCTATAGTTGAATATACAGCACTAATTGATTGATTTGCAATCTGTTGTCAGGACTAACAACCTGCTATGTTCTTGTCTTCGCTTTCGTGTAGCTGCAGACCACATCGAGATAGACCGAACATGGAGATGATTCGGTCGATGAAAGCAACAGGTGAGGAGTATCACGGGCAGTGCAGTGTTCGTGCTCTTCCATACTCCGAGATTTGCGGCAGAAATGGCGTTATTTGGATCTGTGAACTGGAAACCCATGATTAAATTACATAGCGGGTCTCGGAAGCAAAGCTTGGTATATGCTTCATGCTTTTTTCCCCTTGGCTTATTCATCTACCCTGAAGATGAAGGCGACATGTTCCTCCGAAATGTCGGTCCATTTTCTGCGCAATAACTTGGCGCTCTATCCCGAAAGATACGAATCTCCATAAACATCACTGAGAACCTCGAATTATGTTGCCACCACTTCCCAAACTTACCATTTCTGCCGGTAAGCGGGAAGTTTAGTCCCTGTGAGGCCATACGATAACAGCAGGTGCATGAATGGCTTTAAAACGTCTCTATACCAACAGTAAGATATAAAATGTCCCCGGACAGTGGCGAAAAATTTCGCGAAATGCTTCGCCGGCTATAGCTAATTTTCCGACAGTAGCAATATAATATCGTGCTAACTTTGGATGAGGCACTATGCTGTAAGGCGGAAAGTCGCGGTTTCGATTCCCAGTGAGGGTACTGGATTTTTCAATTGACCTAATATTTCCAGCCGAAAAACATCCATTCAGCAGGTGTCGAGTAGCCGGTCACAATGGCCATGCACTCTGGGGCATGAACTGTCTTCGTCCACTCGAACACTTGGATTGTGAGTTCGAATCCAACTAAGGGATGAATGCCTTTGTACGTTTGTTCTGTGTGTAGCTAGCGGCCTTGCGACGAGCTGATCCCCCGTCCGAGGAGGCCGACCGACTGTGTATAGGATTAAGAAACTGAAAAAGCGGCCAAGGTACAACAAAAGGTCCGTAGAGAGATAACGAGTTGTTACAGACAGCGGAAACTGTGAAGTTAATAGACACATTTTTTTTTAACTTTCTTTGCGGGCGCGGCAAAAACCGCGGATGTCCATCCATATTCCAAAGGGGATAGATTGCAACCCCCTCAAAAAGAAATGGAGGAACTACTGTTCGAGCGATGAGACATGCAGGGCTAATATGAATGCAACGCTGGGAATCCCAAAGTGTCCCAAGACATCAGCTGCTGATTGTAATACTTATTGCCGTCTGGATAGATAAGGGGTTGTAGTATTTTTACTGCGTAATTTCCTACTGTCTTGAGTATTGATGGTTTCTCCCTTTCGTAATGCCATATCAGTACCTCAGTTATGCGTGCTATTTCCTCTGTTATGTCAGAGCTGTTTGTTATGAATAAGGTTATGTCATGTGACCCTAACCTAGAAACCGTCCGGCATAAACGATCTGATTTGTTTCCCTGCGTATAGGGTTTTGCAGTTCAAAACGAAGAGAATCGGTATAAAAACAAGGCTCGTGGTGGCGAATGGAAGAAATTGCCGTCATGTGGCTGTGCTGTGACAGATGCGTGTCTTAATATTGCAGTCCAGAACGAATTGTCGCAGTAAATATAGCAGTTATATTCAGAATGACAGGTAGGAAATGTTGACTTCATTTGTAGGGGTAATCTTGGAGTTGTAACACTCACGGTGGCCACGCGGTCTTCGCTCGCTCGAACACGCGGATCGTGAGTTCCAATCCCACTCAAGGCATGGATGTCTGTGTGCGTTTATTCTTTGTTTGTGTTGTTCTGTGTGCAGGTAGCCGCCTTGCGACGGGCTGATCCCCTATCCAAGGAGTCCTACAGACCGAGTATAGGATTATGAAACTGAAAAATCGGTCAAGGCGTATCAGAGGACTATAGAGCCATAGATACGTGTAGATAGGCTTGAAAGGTGCCACTTCTTCTTCTCGTGGAGTTCTGTTGCGCTAAATGTTACTTCTACGAAATGTTTCGGCCTTATAAGGCCATAAAACGTTCAAACTAATTTTAACGAAATTTGGAACTAGTTTTAAGCGAAATTTAGAACAGTGAACTAGAAAAGCAAGTGGGAACATAATATTAAATACAAGTGACATACACTCAACTAGTGAGGACATACATACGACGGGGGCACAAATATGGACGGCGCAAAAGGAAAATAACGCACAACGGAAAGAGAGTTTTATTCTCAAACGCATTGTAGTGTGGACAACGGTAATGCAGTAGCATGGAAATATATTGACTTAAGATCTAGTGCAGTGTGATGTTTTCCTGAAGATGGCCAAGTAATGCCGAAACGTGTAGCAGTTGATGTGATTTTAAAGTTATCTTAAATTAAAGAGAGATTGCGAACAGTTTTAAGTTGCATTAAAGACGGAGGTGAATGAGCGAGTGATACATCAGTGAAACAGAATGCTCAAATATAATATTACGTAATATTAAAATTGATGTTTGTGAGGTAAGGTGAAACAGCGTGGACCGGAAGCAGATCGTCATAGGGGCTCACTGTCGGCCTTCTCTGAAAATGTTAATGGACTTTGGTGATCGACAGATATGAACGGAGCAGATGTCTGTATTCAATAGTGACCCTGCGCCATGGAGCGAGTTGAGAAAAGGCGATCGTGATATATTTTAGAGCTCTGTGCCAGCTTTTAGGCACCACAGAGAATGTGAAACTGGAGTACTGTCCACTGCACTCCTCCAAATTTCTATCAGTACCCTACCATTCGATAAAACTAGGTCACTACCACTTCCTCTGAAGTCTGAATTAATTTGCAGTCTTTAATCTCCAGTACCGGAGCCTTCCGTCCATATCCATTGGGCCACTGCTGTGCGTGGCATCTGCTGCTGGGCGCTTTGTTATGTGGGTAGTGTGCCCTCGTTTCAGCTCCTGATCACAGGAAAACGGCGCAGTTAATCTTCGCGTGACTTGATGCGACACATGGTCTAGCTTAGTCCACCGCACAAGGTGGCTTGCGGCTGACCCAATATTTTAGGACTAGTTGAGCGAGTAATTGTCAATTTAATAATACAGTTATGCATTTGTAATAAACCCTTCACTTCCTGTTACTGTGTTTATTGAGCCAGCAAGATGAGGTGTGAACATAATGTATACTGAATTTACGTTGAAAAGCTGAGGAGGTGGATATCACTTGGGAAACCGAGGTGTGGGTTGGAGGCTTGTGCCAACTGGTGGAAGAGAAAACAGGTGTGAAGGTATGGAGTGGATTCGACTGGCTCATGATGTCTGATTTTGACGTGGTAATGAATTTTCGGTCTTCTGAAAAGCGAAGATGATATTGGCCTGTTAAGCAACCGCTTATGACTTTTCATCAGCACTCGTGGGTGTGTAACACCCCCTCCCCGAAGTCCATAATAAGTGAGGTGTTGAAACTTGTGAACAGTGAACACAAATTATGCAAGTAAAACGGAAGCGAAATGGATTCTGTATTCAGGTTAAGCAAAAAGTGGATTTGCAATTGTGAAGTTGTCCCTGCGCTTAACTAATGAAGCACTGCGCAATGAAGTCGTGTGGGGGAGTAGATATAGAGAGATCCATATTTTCTTCACCTCGGTACTGGTTGGAGGTGAGTGTTACCTTTTAAGTTGCGCTTATCGGTCGCTTGGGATGGGCGCTTCACAGTTTTGAACTCACTTCGCTCAGAACGAGCAAGCACGTACCCCCCCGCCCCCTCCTGAAACACCAGGCATCAGATCCTGTTGGAAGAATTATTCTCCGCATTCATTTTTCTGCCGCCTCCGTAAACCTGCAGGAGTTGTTTCCCCTCTACCCTCCCTCTTCATTACCATTAATGTATGGGATACTGAAAAAACAGAAACCAAAACGAAAAAGAAAGATGGCGTACTTGACCTTGTCATTTGCGAGAACGGCTCCCAGTTCGGCACGGCCCGGTCGGTTCCCCTACCGTAACTGCCTGCGCGGCCCGGCTCGGCTGCAGGTTTGATCGGTCCTGTTTTTCATCAACAGCGCAAATCGCTATGCAGTCAGTTACGTGCGCAAGTGAGATGTTATTGTTTCGTGAAAAAAAAAAAAATCCAATAACTTGAGGTTTAATTGTAACAGTGGTGTGAGTGATTCACTAATTGGGATGATGAGTTAATGTGGTGGATCTGAAAGGAGTGTGGGTGAAATAAATTTTCTCAAAGCGAAGTGGCAAGAATTTTGCAATGTCGTCATATTGCGTAAGTCGTTCGTTTGGGTTTTACCTGTTCAGGAAGATGAGAATTGGATAGATCTTGTGTATTCTGATAATTTTTAGATTAAATTACCGTACGTTGTTGGAGTGCTGTCGCGGTGGCAACTTGGGCGACGTGGCCAGCTATTGCAGTGTTGGAAGCCATTTTTGTGTAAGAAGAATTACGTGACATGTCATTTTTATGCTGTTTCTCATTTTCACTAAATATGTGCGATCATTTTATATAGTACGCCTGACTGTGTTAGAGAGTGCTTGCAAATATTTTTAAAGAAATGTCGTTCTTGAACATTTTGTAGACGTGTCAAATGCCTGGTGAAAGCTTTGAAATGATTTACCGGTATGTCGAATTTAAGTTAGAAAATAGTTTATGAAGTTGGTGGTGCTAGTGGTGTGGGATTAAGTCCCTTGTACTGCGACCACTTCTGGCCTATTATACCAGCCCCAGAAGATAGGTGAGGGTGATTGTGGAGCAATTGGTGGAATGAAGATTGGCAGGGGAAACCAAAGTACTCGGAGAAAACCTGCCCCAGCCCCACTTTGTCCACCACAAATCCCACTTGACCAAACTCGGGATCGAACCCGTGCCGCCGCGGTGATGATCAGTACTAAGTATACGCGTTAGAATTATTAACCCTGTCCCCCCCCCCCAAGTAAATTCTGTTATAGTACCAAGTGACGCAGTGGGCACGGGCTCTTATTTTAGCAATAAAAAACACTTCATGGAACGCTTCATTCTTGTTAATTTGGCCGGGTTAAGCTGACGAACCCTGTTTCAGGAAGTTGACGATTGAACAGTAATCACATTTAAGCAAACCCATGCCTTCGTAATTGTTCGTGATTACCGCTCTTGTTTAGTGTGACACGGATATGATCCCCATTTGCACAGAGGATATAAGGACTATGAAACCAATTTGTCTCATGTTGGTAGCACAGAGTATAAATTTCATCATTCAACACACACACATAAACCACTGCAAGAGATTAGACGTATCTCCCAGCTACGGAGATTGCTGCCGAATAATGAGCGAAATGTATGCTCACCATGGAGCTGGGTCCTTGGAAATCCCCCATTCACCCATCTCCTCAAGAGTTTCCCAACATTGTATGGATCCCGAAGGTTCATTACTGTGGGTCCTTATCGTGAGCAAGAAGAATCCAGCCCATACCACTCCATCTTATTTCTTTAAGATTCATTTTAATACTATCTTCTCACCTTCGTCTGGGTTTTTCTAGTAGTCTCTTTTCTTCCGGCTTTGCCACCGAAACCCTATATGTGTTGTTCTCCCCATGCGTGCTACATGCCATTCCCAGCTCATCCTTTGTGACTTGATCATTCTAATTATATTTGGCGAGTGCAAGTTTTGGAACTCCTTATGCTGCAATTTTCTCCAGCCTCCCATTATTTCATCCTCCTCCGGTATATGTGTGCGTGTGTGTGAGTGAGTGGGTGGGTGAGTGAGTGAGTGAGTGAGTGAGTGAGTGAGTGAGTGAGTAAGTAAGTAATATTTAATTGAATACTCGAAAGTTTCCATGAATAATAGTTACGTAACAACGAAAAATATTGCATCGGTACAAATAATTACATGTCTTGATTGTAGCCTCTCAATAAAGCGTTAGCCGGTCACGGTAGCCGAGCGGTCTAAGGCATGTACTGTCTTCGCTCGCTTGGAAACCGGGATCGTGGGTTCGAATCCCACCCAGGGCATGAATGTTTAGTTTGTGTATGTGTGCATTTCTCTGTGTTTGTGTACAGGTAGAGGCCTTGCGACGAGCTGATCACCCGCCCAAGGAGTCCTACCGAATGTGTAAGATCTAGAAAAACCGAAGTGAACGGAGAAGTTCATGGAGGTAGGCCTAGGCCCACTGGGGCTGTAGTGCCAAGGAAAGAAAATAAATAAAGCGTTAGTACAAGTGATGCCAGGTGCCTTCAAGTGCTGATACACGTTTGGCCTTGTGGAACAGAAATTTGAACTAATATTTTGAATTTCCAGCATGCGAAATACCGTTAGTTCTCGTCGTCTTATCCAGTTCTTGTATCTTTAAAATGTGTACTCGCCTAAATTTACGCTTGACGTATATGTACTTTGATTTTGCGAAAGTGACAAACCGAAGTATTCTCTTTGCAAGTTTCAGCCTTTTCTGTAAAAATATAAGGATAATTTGTTCCATTCCATTTGGAAGCCAGTTTAAATACACATGCGAATTCTCTAACAAATTGACACCCACCAGTCGTGTGTAGCAGGCTCATAGGTACGCTCTAGCTAGTGAAGCGAGAAATTGCGTAGATGTAACTGAACGCTTAAGAACAAAGTGCCCGTGATTGAAGGAATAAAAAGGACAATTAACATTCGATGGAACTGCACACAATTGTCAAAGCAAATCGCCTAGAAAAGTGGACGTCTTCGTACGTACGCAAGCGTTTTGAACATATACAGAAAGATTTTTAAAACTGAAATCTTCTATAATCATCATATTATACCGTATTTACGCATGTATAGGCCGCACATTTTTTGCCAAAAATTCAAGAGGAAAACTGGGGTGCGGCTTATATTCGAAATATTCGAAATCACACTTCATTTATAAAAAATTATATTCATAATTAGTAATACAGGGTCTTCTACTCCTGAAATAATATTCCAAGAAAATTATTTTTTCTATAATTTCTGTCTGAAAATTGTGCTGCGGCCTATACACGCACGCGGCCTATACATGCGTAAATACGGTATTTATATAAAATTGGTAGCCTACACAAGAAATGAAAGGCTACATAACTTTGCGCGGAAGTCAGTTATTTGAGTTACATGGATTTAAGTAGTCCCAGTATAATGTGTGCTTTAGCCGACCACGGTGGCCGCGCGGTGTAAGGCATGAACTGTGTTCGCTCCCTAGAATACTGGGATCGTGGGTTCGAATCCCACTCGAGGCATGGATGTCTATGTGCGTTTATTTGTGGCTGCTCCCTCGTCCAAGGAGTTCTGCCGACTGTGTATAGGATTAAGAAACTGAAAAAGCGGCCCAGGTCTAACAGAAGGACTGTAGAGCCATAGATAGGTAGACAGATAGTGTGCTTTATAACTCCATATTAAGAAATACAACAATGCAAGAAGTGAGGAAGCGAAACACAAATGTTATTACTCGATGGCTTTTCCCAGCATTTAAACTGTATTGTTAGCAATCATGTTATGAAATAATACGGCATCGCTGCACCTGATTTACAAAGGGACCTGGAAATTTGCCTGTCTGTCTGTCTATCTGTGGTTCTACAGCCCTTATGGACTTTCGCCGCTTTTTTCAGTTTCTTAATCTACACACAGTAGGACTCCTTGGACGGTGATCAGCCCATCGCACGGCCGGTACCTACACACAGAGTAACAAATAATAAACGCACACAGACATCCATGCCTCTAGTCGGATTCGAACCCACGTGCCCAGCGTTCGAGCGAGCGAAGACATTTCATGCGTTAAGACCGCGCGGCCACTGATCGGCATAAAGATCGCCAGCAAACGTAAATCCTCCGTAATCCCAAATTTTGTATACATTAAAAAGAAGAGGGGTGACATTTCCGTCCGACATGGGTGGGGGCACCGGGTTACTATTAAAGGCGCCACTGTCCCGGGCAAAACGGGACGAACGGGCGCTGTAACTAGGAATAAGGCAGCGCACTTAATGAGCAATTATCATTTGAACTGCCACTACATGGCCGAACCGGAATCCAGTTCTGACTTATGATTGTGATCACTCCAGGTGATTTTCAAGTTCGTACCTTAAAATATGTGTTCAAAACACGTCTTCGTTCAGCGCAGCGTTGCTCATACAAATATAAATAAGGGCGGCCCCACAAGCATACGGTCTGTATTTCTTCATTTACTGCACGAAATTTTATCTCCCAAACTACAGACCAGATGTAGAGTAAGTGTGGAATTTGGCATAAGGATGCACATTGGGACTTCGGCGAAATTGTACTTCTTATTGGGCTAGTGGGGCTCCTGAATTTTCTGAGGTAGCAAGTGATATTACGTGTTCACTAGTATGTAATCCGGGCGGTAGATATGTGTTTTGAGTAAAGATTTTACTGATTTCAGTTGGGTTTCGCAATAAACCTCTGAATAGCATTCAGATTAACAAGTTATTATTAAGCCCTCCTCCTTTTTTTCTCTCTCTTCTTTTTGGCGCTACAGCCCCAGTGGGCCTAGGCCTACCTCCATGAACTTCTCCGTTCACTTCGGTTTTTCTTGATCTTACACATTCAGTAGGACCCCTTGGGCGGGGTGATCAGCTCGTCGCAAGGCCTCTACCTGTACACAAACAGAAAAACGCATACACAGAAACTAAACATCCATGCCCTGAGTGGGATTCGAACCCACGATCCCGGTTTCCAAGCGAGCGAAGACAGTACATGCCCTAGACCGCTCGGCTACTGTGACCGGCAGTGTATAAGAATAATATATAAGAATTCAGTTCGTACCTCACAGGAAACAGATCCGAACCCTCGGTCCCGGCTTCCGAGCGAGCGAAGACAGTACATGCCTTAGACCGCTCGGCTACCGTGACCGGCATTAAGCCCTCTTAAGAGTTAAGTTTCTCTCTGTTTAATTAAGCACCATGCCACAAAGACGATTGTTTCGGTTTATTGAGTCGCGTTTGATTACATTACATAGATCTGTCCGTGTCAGTGACGTATGGGAGAGTGGAGGGGTAATGCGACGCATTTTTAATCTCGTCAGTATGAGGAAAGTTGTCAGCATCACGCCTCGGCCGCTTTAACCCCGGGGAGAGAACCCAGATGCCCATTTGGCAGGATGGTGGGTGAATCACAGAGCCGGTCCGGATAATGTGGACAGGAGAACAATCTCTTCCTGATGGTCATGTAACCATAGCCTAGTCACTATGCCGACCGAGCTATAACCTTCAGTATGATGGTGTTTGATAAGCGTACTGCATGCATTAATACTGTATTATATCACTCTGTGCACAAACTTTCTTACGGATTTCGCGTAAACCTTGCCATAATCTATGATCTTAAACACACTGCCACCGATCTCGTAACGGAGGGCGACGTGTTGTCTCATACGTGAACTGGATTTCATTCGTTGGATTAAGAAGCGAAATCTACATCCAAAGTGTTAGTTAATCTCTATTGAGTTTGGCTA